TTTGAGGCTGCTAATTGAATAAGACAACAGCTCAGTAAGGGAGATACACACACACACACACAAGCTAGAAGAGTGAGTCAAGGGGAGTATCCGTTTCGCATCACAGTCACCAGTGCACAAGCCTCTCCACCTCATTCTGTCACTCCCAATCAGTACGGCCACACTGCTTTCCACTCAGCACATTTAACACACATGAACTACACTGGAATAAAACACAGTGTTTTACTAACTGCTAACTGAAGCACACTGAGCTATTAAACAAACTAAATTAAGAGTTAAATAATTATTAAATAAGAAATGACATAAAATTTATAACATTTCCAAAAATTGCAATTATAAGCACTTCACATAGAAAAATGAAGTTAATATTATTTGTAAGCAGTCAATTTTATTGTACGTCAGTTGCACTCAAGCTGTAATGTTATTAAATTATGCAAAAAATATGAAAATATTATTTAATTGTATTTAGGATTCATCAAATATTTTACTTGAATAATTTTTTTATTTATATATGTATTCAGCAAATATGCATTAAATTGATCAAAAGTGACATTTATAATGTTACAAAACATTTAAATTTGAAGTAAATGCTGTTCTTCTGGACTTCTTGTTCATCAAATAATCCTACAAATAAAAAAAGGTATCACAGTTTCCACAAAGAAATGAACAGTTTCTTGAGCAGCAAATCAGCATGTTAAAATGATTTCTGAAGGAACATGTGACACTGAAGACTGGAGTAATGACTGCTGAAAATTCAGCTTGGCATCACATACATACATACATACATACATACATACATACATACATACATATATTACAATATAATAAAACAAAAAAAAATTAATTTTAAGTTGTCATAATATTTGTGTATATTTTATCAAATTAATGCAGTCTTGGTGGGCATAAGAGATTTCTTCCAAAAACATTTTAAAAATCTTATACTGTATATACGGCCAGTTGAAGAAACCCCAATATTGTTACTGAATGATTACCATATTTACAGTACATGCCATGGTATTTATGACCCTCATAGTTTAAATGCATATAAATACACACGTTTCAAATTATATCATAATATTACCATAGTACATGTTCTGAAAAACATGGCATTATCCTGGTAGTTTTTTGTTCGTAAACAGAACATGGACATATAGGTCTAAAGCAGATTTAACAAGGGCCCACTAATGTAATGATATCCAATCACAGTGTGTTGGTAGTCAAACAGTAGGCAGACAGGTACTGTGGTGAAGAGAACCACAGGAGAAGATGTGCAGGTGCGCACCAGGAGAGCCGGGCCAGGTGTGTGTCTGACAACTCTCAGACTGAAGAGCTGGCAGGGAAAGTCACACTCACAGGCGTACGTCAGGAAAACTGCTCCCACACACTGATGCTTTGACAAGCAACAGCAAAGCTCACGCTGATTACAGGATATGCGGTCTCCTTAAGCCCACTGGGGACCAGGCTCCCTGAACAGACCATATGGCACCGCTCTTCTGTGATTTTATCACAATTTGAACTGTTTTTCCTGACTTCACAATCCCCTCAACAGTGCAGTGTGGATTATGGGAGGGGACGGAGTGATATTCAACTTGTCCTCTGTCAAAGACATGGCGCAGTGCTCTGCAGCAGCTGAGAGTGAAGGCAGAGCTGCATAATCTTAAGACGAGAGATTGTTTTGAAATGACATGTGTAAGCAATGATCTTCAGTTAGCTGGTCGCTATTGCAAAGTAAACCCAAATTGCACAATCAGGACCATAAGCTTAAGGGTATTTCATCATTCTACCCTTAAAAAACTAAAATATACGGGAAGATACTGGAAAATATAATACAACATATTAAATAATACATTTACATATATGGGAAACTAGTTCTTATGTTTTTCAATATACTGCATTGTATGCATGGACCATATGGCTACTGATACATTTAAAAATGTGTAGCAATGAGGAACACACATTTATCAACTTTTATCTCACTTTACTGTAAGATGCACATTTCATACAGAATATGCAAATGTGTGATGGTATTTAAGAAAAAAGTGTTTACTGAAAAATATTAACATTTTAGGATTTTTGGACAATTGGGTGTTTTGTTGGAAGAAAGTCACGTCTTTATATAATTTTATATTATTTGAGCACAGATTGACCAATCAGAAAATTATTCCATATAGTGCTATGTAAAAAAAAAAAGAAAAAATGACGACATTTTTGTGGTTAGCTTGTGATTTGATATTTTTTATTCTGCATGTTTTTTAAACAAAGAGTTGTTTTATATGTGCATTTACAGTATCTTCTCAAAGTGCATAAATATATATTTGACATACCATAATAGCAGAGGCGGACAGTAACTAAGTACATTTACTTGAGTATTGTACTTAAGTACACTTTTACGTACAACAATAAAACAGTGCATTGACATAAAAAAGGAAATTTACTTTTGGTACTTAAGTACTTTTAAAAGCAAGTACTTCTGTACTTTTACTTAAGTAAAAATCTGTCTTTACAACTTTTACTTGTAATGGAGTCATATTTGACAAGCGGTATCTGTACTTTCACTCAAGTAATGGATTTGAGTACTTTGTCCGCCTCTGAATAGTAACATGACCACACCCATTTATCCACCTCTGACTGGCAAATGACTTCAACTGAATTTAATGTACGAGGGGAATTAAAAGAGGCATAATCGCAGTTGTGTCAGTCATCAAAATTCAGTAGCTACATTTACGCGCACGCACACTTACAATTCGTCATAGAGCTGCACTTTATTATACAGTAGGCCACAATAGAAACGTCCAAATATGAACTTCCAAAAGTCACACTTCCTTTGATTACAAATGATCACTTCTCAACAAAGTTATAAGTTATAAACACTTATGGCACCTTACATGACGCCAGTCAAACTGTTTCCACAAAATTATGGCACAAGAAACACTGAAATACTGAGATGTGGATTCAACAGTCTTTTAGAACCACATGTTCTTCAGGTGGACAAAGAGAAGATGGCTATTTGTTTCCCAACAGGACAGAAGTCTGAAACGTAAGTCTCGCTGCCTAGTTTGACTTAAAGGCAATGTTTTTGTAAAAGTACACTCTTAAAAATAAAGGTGCTTCAAAAGGTTCTTCAAGCGATGCCATAGAAGAACCATTTTTGGTTCCAGAAAGAACCATTCAGTCAAAGGTTCTTTAAAGAACCATCTCTTTCTTACCTTTGTATAATCTGAAGAACCTTCTTTCACCACAAAGAACTTTTTGTGAAACAGAAGGGTTCTTCAGATGTTAAATGTTCTTTATGGAACCATTTAGACAAAAGGTTCTTCTATGGCATCATGAAGAACCTTTATTTTTAAGAGTGTACCTCCCAAAGAAAACTGGTGAGCTTAAGAGACAAGCAAGCAAATATGAATAATTATTTCTTAGTAGAAGTAAAAAAAAAACAAAAAAAACAGACATTTAGGAATAAATGTATTCTTTCAATCTCTCCATCAGATGCCTTGTTATTCTTTTCACCAACTGCCATAACACATGTGCAGGATTGTGGGATATTGCAGTGCACATCTGTGCTGAATTCACAAACCAACCAGATGAAGGCATCTTAGTAGACAGGACAACTATGTTTTTTCAGGTTTTGGACACAAGAATTATCTGTCCATTTGCAGGAACCATGGAGCAGAATGTGACCCCCTCTTTTCATTCATGACTCTCACACATTCAGAGCGATGGGGTTTAATGAACCCCAGGGTATGAATTGAGTTAGACAGCAAACAGAAAAGTGTGCTCAATCTAAATATTGACTGAGGAAAAGAGACTGAGAGAGCCTTCAACATTTAATCCAACAGAAAAAGGGAAGATGGACTTTAGCCACTAAAGAAGAAAGGGATTTAGTCCTTCCTGAATTTTTTTGCTTCTATTTGTGTGCCGTTAGAAACTAAAAAAGGTAGAACCCCATCCTACACACACACACACCTGTGCTGTGGAGGTGTTGTCTAGCCCTCTGGGTACACTCTGAAACAGCAGTGTGGAACAAACACACATAACATACATGCTTGATCCATATTCATATTTGCTAATAAAAACACTCATTGATTTGTATTCTATGTGGATAGTAACCATCAATTGCCCTGATTGTCCACACTTAAACACTGTAAGAATGATTAAAGAAAGGCAGCACACACTCACATGTACATATGTGAATTGCTCCATCAATTTGAGTCGTTTTGAGTTACATGCACTGAATGAAAAATCAAAGTCTCTGTTTCCTAATGATATTACCTATCTTTCAAACCATTCTCAAGATAATAATTTAAACGGTTGCTGTCAAATAGCCTATTATAAACATAAAACATATGTTTTTAAGAAAATGGCGGCTACATAAATAAATAACTGCCCAAAAAAATTAATATTAATTTGTAATATTGTGTATATATTTTTACTATATATTTACTTTCTTCCAACTAAGGAGCTATGGACATTTAATGGCTTTCCTAATGTAAGTTGTTCCATGTACAATGCTGTTCACAAGCTGTTTTGCGGATTTCTTCGCCGATTAGCCTACATAAACCTTTCTATATATATATATATATATATACACACACATACATAAACCGTTTGATGTGCTTTAACTAGCAAGTTATGATCGGCAAACTAGTGCGTATTGTGCCGCCGTTTACAGGTGCATCTCAATAAATTAGAATGTTGTGGAAAAGTTCATTTATTTCAGTAATTCAACTCAAATTGTGAAACTTGTGTATTAAATAAATTCAATGCACACAGACTGAAGTAGTTTAAGTCTTTGGTTCTTTTAATTGT